TATATATATATATATATATATATAAACTAACTGTACATGATAAAATAACAATCAAATTTATAGTTATATGATTTGTATTATAAATCATAATTAACTTTCAAAGTATAGTATAAAGGATAATGTTGTAAGTTTTTACACACACACAATTTTCTCTTATTATCTTAATAAATAACAAAACCGCAAGTGAGAATTTATTCTAATCTAAAAAGATGCAGAGATTGCGATAAAACAACTTGATTATATCCTGAAAAGTACTCCGCTGCTTGCATTTCTCCCGCAAGTTAATCAGTGAATGCATTTTGCGTTATCGTTAGGGTAAGATCTTGCATAAATGGTAGAGCTGAGTAGAAGAAAATCGCGCGTTGCGTCGCGTCGTGTCGTCCCGATTTCGAGGCGTTTCTCGCCGAGCACGTCGTCGTGGTTTCTCCCACAGAGCGACAGGAGGAAAAAAAAGGAAGAGGATAAACAAACCACGCGAGCGAAAGAGAAATTTCCGGCGAAGAATTTTTCTCGGATAAAATACGGACGGTATGCATACATGACGAGATGCTCCAGATTCATTTTTTGCTGATCAGATAAGAAGAGAAATTGTCGCTCTCTTCGCGCTTCCTGAAGTGCGTCGTTTACGCAATTAATACATAGTAGAAATATTAATTATTACATATTACGACGAAGAATTTTTAAGACTAAATACACATTTTACACTAAGTATATTCTTTTATCAAATATGAACAAAATATGATTTTAAATTAAACGAATAATTTAAGCACTTGTGTGTAATAAACATTTTATAAATTATTTTTGATAGTTCGCAATATAATTTAGCATAATGTGTAACGAGAGGAAAAGATTTTCAAAGATTATACAGCTGTAAGGGTGAAAGTCGAAATGATAAGGTAAACGAAGGTATACATCAACATAAGCGTAATGCGAATAAAACAGAAGCGATTTGTTGGAGAGATATAATTGTAGTCAATCTCTTTTTTATAACTTTTTTAGAAAAGGACTGTGATTCACTTTAAATTGATATATACGATACCCCTTCATTCATCTTATTATTTTGATTTTTATTCTTATAGCTATATTCTTTATAACTATATAATCTTCGTAAATCTTTTCTCTTCTTGTTACGCATTATGCAAGGGTTGCTCTCTTTTAACTCTAGAAGTACCAACATTTCACTAAAACGATCAAGTGAATAAATTACTATGAAAATAAAGAAAGTGATGAAAAATCAAGTATTTTATCAATATAAAATACATAATTATTAGAAAGTCAAAAAATTTCAAAATTTCCTTTTATATGAAAAATATATTAATTAAAACAAAAACAATCAATAATGACCTCTCGGTATTCCAAGTGTAAACTGTTTACTTTTCTAACTCTTGATATTTCTTCTTTTGCTCTCCATATTTGTTCATTTCTGATTAACTAAATACGTAATCTTACATCAAATGTAATATTTCATTACTTTTTTTTTTGTTTCAGAAGTTTAATTTACTTATGCCCAATATCTTCATCTCTAGATAATTTGATCCAAGAGATATCTCCCAGAATACAATGGAGATATCTCCTGGATAAGGTTATCTGCAACTTATCTGGAAGTGAAGAAATTGGACATTAAAAAAGAAACTATTCTCAATTATTTACGTATTAAATATCAATTATTTAGTGTTTTGAAAATTATTCTTATAAAATTATTCCTCGACATTTCTGTTAATTACTTTCCAATTTTACATTTGAATAAGTCTACTTTGCATTAGAGAGGTGCGATTTTGCGATATACCACAAGCGATTAAAAAGCCAGTGCGATATGTAACTGGCTTTTTAATTGCGAAATCGCATGTGACTTAAAATCGCGCCTGCAATTAATATTCTATACTTGTTCTTTAATTCTTTTAAGCCATGCAAACAATTCGACTAACGCGCAATAAAAAACCGATATATAATTTTCAATTTTGTGAAAAATTTTTTCTATGAAAATTCCAAATTTTATTAAGGATTTTTCAATGCTATTATTAAAAAAAAAATGCTTTCGTATTAGCTACGTTCTAATAATTATTTTTTATTATTCATCTGTCATCGCTCTGAATTTACTGAAGATTTTTAATATGACAAAAATGGCAGTTGAATATAAATGTATTATATAATATACACATATAAAAATCGCAATGCGATATATCGCGTCCTAATTTTTATATGTGTATGTTGTATATTATCCCGAATTTTAAGGAATATATTGCAATCGCGATGCACAATTTTTAAAATCGCACATTCCTGCTTTCCACCAGATCTGAAACTTTACATCAATTTATATATTCGTTCTCTGATTTTGCTTCAGGAATTATTACGGTTCTTGAAACGAAGTGAAAATTACAAAAATGAACAAATTCACTAGACGTTTACTCCGCAATACAGTTATAAATATTCTAGTAAATTCGATCACTTTTGTAATTTTCAGCTCGTTTCAAGAACCGTAATAAGCTCCCTGATTACAATATAAGTACGCATGATGCATGTAAATTGAAAGCCCGATGCCAAGTGTACGGTGGTCGATACGAGTGTCTGACTATGCCGCGTCATTATTCACTAGCTGAGCGCCAGAGCAGCGTTTTCTCTTTCACGCAGCTAGGCGAATTCATTTTCCGCAAGCCAAATATTACGTAAAAGAGCGTTCGCGTGTGTAACGAGCATCGGCAAATCGATTGGGGGCAAGAATTATGCGGAGTTCTCGAAGATACAAGATATTTTCGGATACTCTCCGGTTGTTTTCATTCAGTCGCTCTCGTCGTGAAAGTGATGGCGCGCCGATTGTCTAATCCGGAAAGTCGTTCCAAGAATTATGACTGGGATGCTGTTAACGATACTACCGTTGAATATTCGATACTACGTATATACTCAGTATAATATACGTTATGGCACCGATGTTTACGGCTGATTCCACGAAAGTAATGCAGCATCTTATGCCACACTATTACAGTGATACTCTAAAAAATATCGTGTTATAATATTATACAATAATATGTTATTAAAATATATTATGACATTTATGGCAATAACAGCAGTCTACCAGGAACACTATTGTTATCTTAAAAATAAATATTAATTACTGACAGGTCCAATGTGGCAATAATCGTGATAAACGACACATCAAGATAATTCATTAGCTTACATATAAAAGATAATATTATTGATAGATTGAATGTGGCAATAATTGTTGATAAACAATACATCACGATAATTCATTCACTTACATATAGAAGATAATATTATTTGTTATCAAATCATGAAAAAAATTACTTCAGATCAACCGCGTAATTTAAGCATTTTGTATAATAGAACATTTTATAAATATTTTTGGTTCACAATATAACTCAAATTTATAAGTGTAACTGAAGTAAATCGAACACAGATCAGATGTCAATGTCGTATTATTGTGTTGTCAGGCGCTGTTTAAAAATAGTGATGCTTTTTTTTAGAACACCTTGCGCAATGTCAACATTTCCTGAAATTAATGCAAGTCGTTTGTATAAAGGCTATCACGCTATAGCAACCCCGGTTACGACGCAACAAGCGCGGGTGTCACGATACACGTGGCAAATGCCGCGAGTGAAGATGATAACTATTTTTACGGCTGAGTCAGCCGGGTGTGCGAAACGGAGGATCCTGAGAGGATCCGCGGAGTTTTCGCGGAGGCCTCGTCGAGGAAAATGCCAGAAATAAGATCCGCTAGGTCCGCGACGAGTAAACACCGCATCCGAATCTGGGCCAAGCCGTTTATATCGTCGGAATGCGTTGTCGCGGTGCATCCCGTCGAAACGCGTCGTCGCGCTAGTAATGCTCGGCGCGTTATGTCATAACTGAGAAGTAAGTATTGGTTTCGAAAAACAAACAAAAAATAAAATGGAAAACCTCTGTATATTTTGAACTTTTCCCGAAGTATGACTTCTAAATATTTATCGTGATGGATTTTGCACAAATTATTCGCAGAGATGCAGTATCAAATTCCTGATCTGGTGGAAAGCAAACTCTTTTGGATGTAAAATTGGAAATCAATTGACGAAAATCAAAATAAGTTAAAATAAAATATCGAAATTGGAATAATTTCCAAAATACTAAATAATTAATATTTAATAAACAGTCTTTATCAAGTAAATTAAATTCCTAAAGCGAAAATAATGAAATAATATATTCATTTTTTGTAACGTACAAATTAAATTTATCACGATATAGTATCATGATTAAAATTAAAAATGTATCACTAGGAAAAATGTTTTGTTCTATAAACCAAAATTTTGCGAATTGTTAATTGGTATAAATAAATATTTTTGTTATTTACAAAGCAGAGAAATTATTTTACAAAAAGAATTAAATAATGATATATAAATAAAATATTTGATTGTTAAAAAATGTCTCAACACTAAACAGTTTTACTGAAGACACTAAATGTTTTTTCCTAGTGTGTGTAAGAAATAAAATATCTTTCCTGTCTCGAAATATAAAATAATGTATACACAATTGTTGGCAGCCACAAATCAATATTTGACTACACATCTAATTTCACAAGCTATAAAGTAAAAAATGTGGTAGTACAGCCTGCACTTTGGATTTTGCTTTCTGCTATACAGCAAGAATTTTCGCAACGGATACAACGTGCCGAGCTAACCGCTATTACCGCTAGGCGACGTATTATGTTGTAATTCGTAACGAGCGTAGTTAAAGCGTAATACCGTTTTTTTTTCTAATTTTTTACCCATTTTAGTGAACTCCCAAGCGAGAGGAATTTCAACAATATAATCGCCGGATGATAAATCAAACGATAACGCTCTATAATGTGGATTGGTGTAAGCTAAGACGAAATACTGTAAGTACACGGTCGCCACGTGTTTCGGTAATATCGTATAGTCATTTGATACGAGAATCTTGAGCCAGCATTTTGGCACGATGCCGGAAAGAAGGTTAAATTGATTCGTGACAAGACGAAACAAATGTGAGGCGCAAGCATGAGTTTAGCTGTAAACTGACTATGATAAATAGTGCAATTCTTGGAAAAAAATATAATTTTACTTAACATATTGAAACTATAAATATTACAAACATTAAAATTCAAGCAAATAATTATATATACAATGGAAAATATATTATATAATTCACTCATATAAATTTCAACAATAAATAAGATGTTAAAAATATTAAAAAATCGAATATTTTTTTGCGTTCGTTTGCTCATGGTTTGCTTACGAATGCTCCGTCGGAATTTTTGCTTGTTCACCCTTAGTTCTAAAGTTATACGAAATTTAAATTTTGTGGGGCCAATTTCACATTAGCCCCCAATATTAAAAAATCGAATATTTTTTTGCATTCGTTTGCTCATCGTTTGCTCACGAATGCTCCATTGGAATTTTCGCTTGTTCACCCTTAGTTCTAAAATTATACGAAATTGAAATTTTGTGGGGCCAATTTCACGCTAGCCCTAAAATGCATAACATCGCGCACATTTTCTTCCATCTACTATCCATCGTTCTTGAATTTTGCTCGCATTGAACTAAAAGAGGGTCGACGCATCTACTCGTAACACAAGGATTAATCAGGCAAGCAGAGCGCGTAGAAATTTATTTTATCATTCTCATCGAATTCGACCAAGCGATTTTGTTCAATCGCGAAATGTAGTTTCACCGGCAAAAATGAATTCGATTCAATTCTGGCATCTCAACTCACCTGAGTATGTTTGGATGGCTAAGCTTGTTCATGAGCTGGACTTCCTTGAGCATATTCGGTCTATTCGCCGCCAGCTGATTCATCTTGAGCACCATCACCTGACTCGTCACTTTGTGAGTAACCTGGAAAAACGAAACGAACATGGAGGTTAGTGACATATTACCGTGCTATTGCGTGGCGGTATTATTGACGTTAGATCATACGACAGCTGCATACGTAACCGTACAGATTCTTTGCGTTACAAATTTTGCCGAGGTCATAAATGCAAGAGCGCTGTTCTGCTTCGATCAATGTGTTGAATTATTTCGAGACATTCTATAAAAATTCTATTAAAATCTTATATAGAATTCATTTTTATGTTATCAAATTAATATATAAAAATAAGAATTAAGCTAAGAAAAAATCTGTTAAAATATTCTCGATATAGATACATATAATATTATAATAAAAAAATAAAGTTGTGCGTAAGACTTAGTTCATGATTTTGCATATATTTTATTTATGAGCAATTGCCATACTATATTGTGTTTGTATATCCTAAAGTTAATTACAGGTTGTAAAATTTCTAATTCGACTTTTGATTTATTAAATCGTGATTAAGACAGAGGCCTGATCGATCTACATAATTCATAGTCGTATCTTTATTTTCTAAGAATAACCTTAATGCATTGAGCTAATTTCATCATGATAGTGCAAAACGTTTATATGTTTCTTGTGAAACTGATACGAGTACAGGATATATCAACATCATTTAATACTTTGATGACGACTACGATAACACGCAGGCAAATCTTCTTCTTTAAACATATACAAAAATGAGAAATTATTACATTATCATTATTTATTAATATTATTACATCGTAATTTCTTTTTTGTAATTTTAAGTGCTTCGAAAATTAAATCCTAAATAAAAGTTATTTAAAAAACTATTAAATATTAATCGAACAAGATTCTTGTTGTTAACAATAAATTAAAAATGAGATCGTCTTGTTATTAAATTTGTTCATTATCAACACAAAAAAAATCGATTTTTCTTCGGCTCGATCAAATATTTCTATTTTATTATACATCCTATACATCAGGTACTGGCAAATCGCTTAAGTACTCAAAGACGACGGCGACAGATGCGTTTCTCATCGCCAAGCCAACGAAATGAAGATTTTCGTCGCCCCGTTTTCACATGGTGCGACTAACACGCACGAGAGAACACCGGAGCGATATTCTCGCGAAAGAGAAACTTATTAATGAAACTGTGGCATCTGGCCGGCGTAAGATGAGCTCGTAAAGGCGCCAGTCCATGTTGCTTGCGGCATCATTCAACGAAAATGGACATACGGGCCGCAATTCCTTTATTAGCCTTGAAAGTTGCCGCGCACGATTGCTTAATGAGTGCGATCACCGCAGCTTCGCATATAGCAGTTTTGATTATCGTAGAATGTCGCAGACTGCCCGACAATAAACGACCTCGTGGAAATATTACTGAAAGGATTCAATTTCTCTCATACAAATTCCTGTATTATGTTATAATAAATTGAGAAATCAGGTCTACTATGAAATTACCTAATGGAATAAACATATAAAACATTTATCGAAGAGATATTACAAATTTCGTCAAGGAAATTATAATTATAAAAGGACTCTGCACTATTTATATGGTAAAAGTGATTTGAATTGATTGAAATTGAGATATTCTGTAAATTATAATATAAGATGCCAATCAAAAGTTTCTTCAGGCAAAACCATAAAAAAAAACAGTTTGTTGTAGCATTCCTATACTAAAATTGGCATGTCACGTTTTTTTGAAGCCTCTTTTCAAAGGGATGTTGGAGTACTCCGATTTCGATGTGGCTTCGTATTCGGGGGTTTTAGGGATCGCTCGTTCCGAAATCGTGATAAAAATTTCGAAATTCAAAATGGCTGAATCATTATGGCGGACGGAGACGTTATAAAAATTTTAAAGATTTTTCGATTATAATGTAATTTGTTTTTAGGGGGATCGTGGCGTCGTTCATTTCGATCTTGTTCAAAATTTGAGAATTTAAAATGGCTGAACAAAATGGCAGTCAGAAATGTTACGAAAATCTAAAAGATTTAACGTTTATGATGGAATTTGGTATTACAGGGTTTATGGGGACGCTCGTTCCGAAACCGTATTTTAAATTTGGAAATTCAAAATGGTTGAACTAATATGGCGGACGGTAATGTTACGGAAATGTAAAAGGTTCTTCAATTTTGGTGAAATTTGATAGGAAGATAGGGTTGTATTTACCCACCCGTTAAAAACAACCGATTTGGAAAATTAAATACACAGGATTTATGCGCTATTTATGCGCTACCAATATCCGTAAAGAACAATTTTTGCGCTCATTCCGTTTAGCTAAAAAAAAATTTTTTTCTGGAGGGGACTGAGTGCGCAGTCAGTCAGCCCACCCACCCGTTAAAAACAACCGATTTGGAAAATTAAATACACAGGATTTATGCGCTATTTATGCGCTACCTATATCCGTAAAGAAGGATTTTCTCCTCTAACGTATTATAAAATAAAAAAAATGAAGCAACATGTAACATTAGCGTTCGATAATAAATAATTTTATTATAAAATTTTTTATGGTATATTTGACTAAAGAATTCCATCCGCCATATTGATTCAACCTTTTAATTTTCAAATTTTCAAACCGCCATAATGATTCGGTCATTTTTCTTATTCAAACATTTTGAATCCAGATTCGTAATATTATATTTCATAATGTCTAAAAAGGATAGCACAATGTAGGAGCGCGCGCGTAGCGATGTGCTAGTATTAAAAAATTTTGAATATATAATCGTTTTGAAAAGTATCTTTATCTACTAAATTATTCATTTCTTGATAACTGCACTTCAATACTTTTATGCATAAAATAATGAGATGAAGCAATTGATACCTATAAAGAAAACATTTGCTTCTTAAAAAAATTATATAATTTGCAATATGCATATTTGCAAACTACATATTTTTTTTTACAGAAACAACTATATGCTTTCTTTATATTAATTGATTGATCTCATATTATTCTATGAATAAAAGTATCAAAGTACATTACAAAAAAATGAATAGTTTAATAGATAAAAATATTTTTCAATCCGATTAGAACCAAATAACAACTTTCAAATACTGCAAATTCGTTCATTTTTTATGTTTTTGTCTAAGGAAACTTTTGATTAGCATGTCATAATCTACAAAATATAACAATTTCAACCAATTTGATCGAGAAACCACTTTTCTATATAACTAGTACAGATTCTTGTATCTATCTATCGAAGAACCTGTTACAGAATTTTTACATTGATAAAATATGTACTGTACGTGTTATAAAATCTTTTACGTTGATAAAATATATGTACTGTATATCACATGTACTATGTTACACAGGTACTAAAAAAGTTCATTACCTGCCTTGGTATCATCAGCACTTCTAATTAAAGAGTCGCTCCCATAGATTCGCGAGAAACGCAGACATAAATTTTTGGAACAGCGATAACGCTAAAGCGATCTCGCATTTACAAACGTATGTATATGTTCTCGTATATAAAAGAATTCGATGCGATATATATCTCGTAATGGCACGAAAGCATCTTCCGAGAATCCAAGAGATGCAAGACGCGTCGAGAGAAAGAACTACTGGATTACATCAACTACTCCTGCAGTCGATCTTCGCGGTGTTGAGAGGCGTAATGCACTCTTTTACATTCCAGCGCCCGCGCATTTTATCGTTCATCTCGAATTTCGTCTCAACTCGAAAAAGAAGTTGGTCGGAGATGAGATGCGAAGTGATGAAAATGGAGACACGAAATGGGAAACACGAGAGAGAGAGAGAGAGAGAGAGAGAGAGAGAGAGAGAGAGAGAGAGAGAGAGTCTCTCTCGCCGACGGCATCGTCGCACGAGATGAAATTTTTGGGGGTTAAAAAGTCGAGAATAATATCCGAGAGGATTCTGGCCAGGATTCCTTGGCAATGTCTTGACTTGGCTTACAGTTGGGTTGCGTCCAAACGGTGACGAATACGAAAGAGATGGAGAAGTACGAATCCGTCGTAAACAGAACGACCGCGAGTCGTTGGTTGCTTTGCGACAAAAGGATAGAGAATGTAAAAGAGAGCGTTTGACGCCGACAATTTTTATTTTTGCTAAAACTACTCGACCGAAAAATTGAATATGTCACACATTCGTTTAATTCGCGTCACACTTGTTCTCGTTACAGAGACTTGAGTAAGAGATTGGATACCATTTAGACAACTTTTGATTGGTCCACCACATTCAGAAAGGTGTTTAAGATAAAAGAGATAGATGTAAGATAGAATGAGATGCATGAATATCTCGTTCTATTTCAAGTAAGTCCTAAAAAATATAACGGACTAAACATATACTGTAAAAAAATTACAGTTATAGTGGATAATCGAGGATAATTTTGGATCTCGCTATTAAAAATGTGTATTTACATTATTTATAAACACAATTGTGTAAAGTCACAATTTACAAAAAATTGTTTATAGTAGTTAAACAATTTGCAAAAATAAATTAAAGTTAAGTTTATAGAAATATTTATGTATTAACTTAATAATTGTATTCGCCAACGAATTACAATTTTTTTAAGCTATGTTATTGATACATACAATATACAAACATAAAAATGCAAATATAATACGTGTGATATACATACATATTATCATTATGTTATATAATATTACAAAATTTTATATTGTACATTTACGTAGGTAGAAACTATAAAATGTATTATTACTATTATATTGTAATTTTCCGTTTATAAAGATACATTTGCAATTATATAAAAACAATATATATATTAATTTTTGTAAAAATATACAATTTCCAATTTATTATATAAATTTCTACACATATTATTTTTATGTAATTTTATATACTTTTTTATAATGTAGGTATGTCCAATCTCTTACTTAAGTATTTCTCTAATTTTCACTGTTTCTTGAAAACCTTTCACGCCGTCTTTTTTTATAGAACATGTTTCGCGAGTTTTTTTTTTACGTAAAATATATAGGATACTTCTACATATCTTTAGCAACATATCTTTAGTTAGAAGTGGGAAGTTTAGTCGATCGATTTACGAT